TTAAAAGTTAGCTGGAGGTCCCTTTATGACCGACTGCAAGCACATTTTCCTGCCCAAAACAGTTCCATAGATTTGGGCTGTGAGGTCGGTCTATTTCAGGCTGAAAAAACGACTAAGTCCCATCGCGAATGGGACAGTCTCTGCAGCTGAAATAAGGCTGAAAAAAACGGCTGAAAAAAAGACTAAGTCCCATCGCCGAATGGGACTTAGTCTCTGCAGCTGAAATAATTTCCATTTACTGAACCAAGTGGGAAATAGCAAGGCAGGCACAAAGGGTTTGCACCAGGTCTGGGGACACAGGGGACACCGTCTTAAAGGGGCCGTGTCCCCAACAAGTCTGGGGACACGGCCTTAAAGGGGCAGTGTCCCAATCTTCCTGATGTCCCAAAAAGGTGTTTAAAGGGCCAGCACCAGTCACATAAAGAGTCCATAAGCCCCAATATGCCCACCGACAGTCTTAAAGGGCCATACACACCAAATAAAAGTGCATACATTTTCACAATCTCCCAGGGCCCATAGTCATGCGGGAGGAGGCTGGCAAATAGGCTTCTCCACAACCCAGGGAAGCAGGGCAATTTGCCATTTAAAGGGCCCGTTACAAATAGCAGTTTGTAACAAGGTGTCAATCCATATCTGCCAAGTGACCCGATGTAGGGGGAACAGTCCCTATTCTGCTCTGTGTCAGTGTGTATCAGGGATCCTTAGGACAGGTGTCAATCCATATCTGCCAAGTGACCCTATGTAGGGGGACCAGTCTCTATTCTGCTCTGTGTCCGTGTGCATCAGGGGCTCTGAGGACAGGTGTCAATCCATATGTCAAGGTGTCAACATGTCATATGTCAGGTGTCAATCCATATTGATTGTGATTTAGGAATGTTAGGTGATTTCTGCCCTTTATGGATTAAAACCAGACTCTGTATCAACTGTGTAATTTTCCATGGGAGTTTTGCCATGGATCCCCCTCCGGCATGCCACAGTCCAGGTGTTAGTCCCCTTGAAACAACTTTTCCATCCCTATTGTGGCCAGAAAGAGTCCCTGTGTGTTTTAAAATTCGCCTCCCCATTGAAGTCAATGGCGTTTCGGGCGGTTTGCCGGTTCGCGAACATTTGCGGAAGTTCGCGTTCGCCGTTCGCGAACCGAAAATTTCGGGTTCGCGACATCACTAGTGAAGATGTGAAAGTTTAAAGACACTTTAAAAATATTAATCTTTAATATGAACATTAAAAAAATATATTCATAAAGGCACAATGCCCAGATATTATTTAAGTGCTATTCACAAGTCATTTATCAAACAGTATATACAAAACTCCATAACCTACTACTATGTGTCAAAAATTATTTCACATTTACCAGTAGTAGAGTAACTGGGTATTCTCCCTCCGTAAATGCAAATTGCAAAGCGGCACTACTCTTGACATACCCCATAACGAGTCCCCCAAAGTGGGAAGGAAAAAGTTGAAAAAAATTCAAATTGGTGAAGGGGACTGGATGTCAAGAGACAGGAATTAAAATTAGGGCAGGAAGGATATTTTACTCTACCTTAAGTAGTGAAATTTCCCAAATTGTTTAGGTAGGTCTTAATATGAGTGGAAATGCTCCAGTGTAAAAGGTTAAGTTTTACTTATTTAGGGTTAGGGGATTAACCATTGTGGCTAGAAGATACACTTGAGTTACAGTTCAAAGTATCTCCAGTTTCCACAATTCGGTTATGGTTAGTAGCCTATCCATGAGATTAGGGGATAGGCTGCTGTATCTCTGTCTCTGATTATATAGGGTTACAGTACAGGGTTAATCTGTGTTGCCTAATTTCCCCCCGCCCCCCCCAAAAAAAGAAAAAAATAAATAAACAAAACTAAAAAAACGTATTTTTCTTCAATCAAATTTTTTATTTAAAAGATGCAAGTTAACTTACTAACTACAAAAAAACTATCTGTAGTCAATTTTTCAAGCTGAACTAACAAACTCCCACTATTATCGACAAGATGACAAATTTGTATCATGCATATTTTCAGTAAATAGTTGTAATGCTTGATTCCTGTGGGTGACTTGTGAACCAACACAGGTGCTTGGAGAAGATCCATCACATGGCTTAGGTGACGTAGCTTGGACTGATAAGAAGACATTAAATAGAACTGTTCTTCTCCAGGAAGGCACAACATTCCAACTGGCCTCTGACAAGCTCAGAAACACATCACGATGATTCCATTTTGGATTTTGGTTCTTCTGGGGACTGCAGGTAACACGGAGGAAGGGTAATGCAAAATGTTATAAGAATACCTCGTTCCAACAACAGTTGTGTGCAGTAGTGTGTGTATTACTAAATATATATATATAGCTACACAGGTGAAGCAGACTAATAAAATGGATGTGTTCTTTCTAAAAGGTGGTGATGTTGTTAGTTTATAGTAATTGTCAACGAAATGAACCTGCTGATTTCAGTGTTTTCCATGATGATTTTCCCACTTTTGGGGAGTGGAAGGGGGGACGTCTGTCCTGTATTGTTTGGGCCTATGGTGGGGTGACATGTTAATACTGACACACAACATATTATAATATTAATTCTAAACTAATATTTAATTATATTATGTTGTCATTTCCCTAGCTAAGTTTTTGTGTTGGTCTTGTGCTACATAACTGAACTGTAGGCCAGTGTGTGAGTGCTGGTAATGGTATACAGATCTTTCACTATGATATATTCCACATACAGCTGCATTAGACGATGATAAGATCATTGGAGGCTACGAGTGTCCACGTAACTCCCAGCCTTGGCAGGTTTATTTCACCTATAAGGGCCAGCGATGGTGTGGGGGCTCCCTGATCACATCACGGTGGATCATCTCAGCCGCTCATTGCTATAAGCAGTAAGTATAAGAGAAATGTGAACATAAAGAATACATTTGTAAATCTAGTGTATACATTTATAATGAATAAACAGGCAGACAGACTGACAGACAGCTGAAAGGCTGGCTAGACAGACAGACAGCTGGAAGGCTAGGCAGACAAACAGACAGACAGACAGCTGAAAGGCTAGGCAGACAAACAGAGAGACATACAGACAGCTGGAAGGCTGGCCAGACAAACAGACAGGCAGCTGGAAGGCTGGCCAGACAAACAGACAGCTGGAAGGCTGGCCAGACAGAAACAGACAGACAAACAGCTGGAAGGCTGGCCAGACAGACAAACAGACAGACAGACAGCTGGAAGGCTGGCCAGACAGACAGACAAACAGACAGACAGAGAGCTGGAAGGCTGACCAGACAGACAGACAGACAGACAGACAGACAGACATACAGACAGACAGACAACTGAAAGGCTGACCAGACAGACAGACAGCTGAAAGGCTGGCCAGACAGACAGACGGACAGCTGAAAGGCTGGCCAGACAGACAGACAGACAGCTGGAAGGCTGGCCAGACAAACAGACAGATGGAAGGCTGGCCAGCCAGACAGACAGACAGATGGAAGGCTGGCCAGACAGACAGACAGACAGCTGGAAGGCTGGACAGACAGAAAGACAGACAGACAGCTGGAAGGCTGGACAGACAGAAAGACAGACAAACAGCTGGAAGGGTGACCAGACAGACAGCTGGAAGGCTGGCCAGACAGACAGACAGCTGAAAGGCTGGCCAGACAGACAGACAGATGGGAGGCTGGCCAGACAGACAGACAGCTGGAAGGCTGGCCAGACAGACAGACAGCTGGAAGAGTGACCAAACAGACAGACAGCTGGAAGGATGGCCAGACAGACAGACATACAACTGAAAGGCTGGCCAGACAGACAGACAGCTGAAAGGCTGGCCAGACAGACAGCTGGTTAGCTGGCCAGACAGACTGACAGACAGCTTAAAGGCTGGCCAGACAGACAGACAGACAGCTGGAAGGCTGGCCAGACAGTCAGACAGACAGCTGGAAGGCTGGCCAGACAGACAGACAGCTGGAAGGCTGGCCAGACAGACAGACAGCTGGAAGGCTGGCCAGACAGACAGACAGCTGGAAGGCTGGCCAGACAGAGAGACAGACAGCTGAAAGGCTGGCCAGACAGACAGACAGACAGCTGGAAGGCTGGCCAGGCAGACAGCTGGAAGGCTGGCCAAACAGACAGACAGACAGCTGAAAGGCTGGCCAGACAGACAGACATACAGACAGCTGGAAGACTAGGCAGACAAATAGACAGACAGACAGTTGGAAGGCTAGGCAGACAAACAGACAGACAGCTGGAAAGCTAGGCAGACAAACAGACAGACAGCTGGAAGGCTGGCCAGACAAACAGACAGACAGCTGGAAGGCTGGCCAGGCAGACAGCTGGAAGATAGAACGATAGATAGATAGATAGATAGATAGTTTATCAGTATTTATTGATCAATTCACTGATGAATATTACATTTTAACTTTGTTTATTATTATTGTAATCATTTATATTGCACCAACATATTCAGCAGCTCTTTGTAGTTATTTTGGGGGGATATAAAACAACATGTATTAACATATATGTTAATGTTGACAGAAACAAGAAGTGAAGAGGCTCAAACAAAGTTCCAATCTATAGAACATTTTAGTGACAGATATTTTAAAGATCTCAATAATACCTTTTATTCAAGCTTGGATTATGTCAATGATACACTTAAACCACTAGTAGGAAAATCAACCACGTGGCGATTTAAGTATCATCCAACCAGTGTAGGAAATAAACAGCAGACTGCACAGTCTGAACATTTGTAGCTATTGTGCAGATTATTTATTGTTAGAGTTTGTTAGAATGTAGATTCCTCCCTGTCTGTAATATCAGTGTCCTAGCCACTCTAAAAGGTTTCATACCTCATTGCAATAGACTGCACCACATGGCACAAAACTTAATCCAGTTGTTGGGAGGATTATCTAACTTTACTCTGTCACCGGATTCCATCAGTCAATCCATGACAGCAGCCCAAACAGTGAAATATATACTGAACATATATACTGAATCTTAGTTTTTTTAGTCATACACAAGATAAAGCAGGGACTACTTTATTTTATGGGGATCTGATCTTATGCAAATTTTGGCAACGGGTGGAGCTTAAGCATATCTCCATTTTGATAGTTAAGCTAATTTACCCACAATCAAGATAATCCGACTCAATAGGAACCTGCAGGCTTCATGAACAAAGGAGAACAAAATGGTGGCACAGAGGTATTAAGATCCGATGCTAAGAAGAAAAAGATAATAAACAGACACAAAGAGATGTTGCAATGGGGGAAGTATAATCACTAAGAAACAGGGGTCATAAGAAAGTGAAAACTGAAAGAATAGCAAAATATGAGAGAGACGCTTGAACATCTTAATTTGAAAATCCTTCACTCTAACGTTGCCTCTTCTATTCAGACCCAAGTCCTTGATTGCTCACCTTGGGGAACATGAAACTTCCAAGGAAGAGGGAACAGAGCAACATATTCAGGTAGAAAAAGCGTATCAGTTCTTCTACTACAACGAGTATTACATGGACCACGATTTTATGATGGTAAAACTTTCAAAGGATGCAGAGTTCAACCAATACGTGCAGCCCATCAAGGTGGCAAGGGATTGCCCAAAGGCCGGGAGCCAATGTCTAGTGTCTGGATGGGGCAATCTGCTGACATCTGGGGGTGAGTAAATATACCTATGCCTAGACCCATTAAGGTCTAGGATGGAACTCAATTATCAAGCATTGCTAAAATGTAATAGATATAACTTGGTTCTTATTAAATCTATATATGTTAACCATCTGCAGCAAATACATATCTGGAATGATTGATACAAGTCTACGTCCTTCAAACTCACTCCTAAAACGCCATCTCCCCATTAGCCTGAATCTTGATGTCCATGATGGTTCTGTAATTTAATGAAGTGAAAATTTACTTTTCATATACAGTGAGGCCACTGGAAGAGAAGTATGAGCATTAGAGACAGACGTATTTCTGTTCACCCTGTAAAACCATCAAGAGGCTCCAATCAGTCCCAACTGTACTAACTGTAAAATGTTTACCACTGGCTGGTTGTAAAAGTAATCATTGACTTTTGGAATTCCTATTTGCTACTGGGTTACTACCAGGACAGCTGGAACAGAGAGACATGTCCGTGTCCCGGTCATATTTCTCTATACCCTGGCCTGGTCCACATCGGTTGAAGCAAGTAGGAGGAGGAAGTCAGAGTACACTGTGTAGGGAAGCAGCCTCCACCGAGAGCTTGGCCACCCTACACATGCCTAGTGGCTGGGAGATTGAATATTGCATGTGTATGTAGCTGTGTGTATGGAAGTGTGCAGATATCTATGTAAATGAATGTGAAGCAGTGTGATTGTGGTTAGCTGTGTGTATGTTTGGGAATGTGTAGCTGTGTCTTTGTGTCTATGTATATGGTAGTGTGAACATTTTTTTTGTATGGGGTACTGTATATGTGTGACTGTACAGAAGTGTATAGCTGTATGTATGTGGTGTAAGGGAATGTAGTGCTGTGTGTAGGTAGTGTTACACTGCATGTGGGAGTGAGTATTGTGGGTGTGTAAATGTATGAGCGTGCAGTTGTTTGAATATAGGATGTGTAAATGTGTGTATGAGATTCTGTAGCTATATGTGAATAGGGGTGGGAAGCTGTATGTATGTGTCTGGAAGTATGTGTGTGCGCACATGAGTCCAGATCTGTGGCTGCAAGGGAGAAGATGGCTTGGCCAGTAGTCCCTGCGTAAATTGACTTTTAAGACCCCTGGCATGGTCCAAAGGATGGAGGCAGGAGGTAAAAGGCGAGGGAAACTATTGGCGGTTTACAAATAGAGTTCTGTATCACCAAATGCAACCCTATTCAGAGGTGTTCGGGTTACAGGAATTAAACAAAATAAATTTCTAAACATAACTGATCAGTGATTTATATTAAACTGGTAACTCCCATGACTTTTGATATTATTTCCTTATCCTCTATATTTTAAAAAATGTTTGTTTGTGAGGTGTAAAAAATAAAATTAAATGTAGAAATCCCTGAGCCAAAAACTATGTTTCTGATTATCCTTCTCCAAAGCAACATATGCCTTATCTGTGCCAGGACTGAACTTTATGTGACTTTAATGGTATAGTTTCATAACTTATTGTGTCCCTTAAGAATGTATTGTAAACTGGAGTGTTTTTTACAGTGCAATATCCCGATGCTCTACAGTGTTTAAATGTTCCTGTTTTGTCTGACGAAAGCTGCAAAGCTTCTTACCGCGATCAGATTACATCGAACATGTTCTGTGCTGGCTTCCTGGAAGGAGGGAAAGACTCATGTCAGGCAAGTATATTTTTTTTAAAATACACTTTTAAATTATTATTATTTTTTTTTAATAAAACAAGGGAAAGGAAGATAACAATTAAATAGTAAGCCATTTTATTATGATACAGATTATTATTATTATTTTATTATGTATATAGCGCCATCAAATTCCGTAGCGCTGTACAATGGGTGGACTAACAGACATGTAATTTTAACCAGACAACTGGACGTACAGGAACAGAGAGCTTGAGGGCTTACATTCTAGAGGGAGTGGGGTATAGTGACACAAAGGGTAAAAGTAGGGGTATGAAGTAGGTTGTTAGAAAAGTATTCATTGAGGGCTTAGTAGGTAATTTTTGACAGATCATGGGTATAATTGTTTGACCATACTCCTGCTATGGTTACACCATAAATATAAATTCTTAGTGCATGCCACCCAAAAAAGGGTACTCCTTAAAAGGATTCTATAGTGCCAAGAAAACAAAGCCGTTTTCCTGGCACTATGGGTTCCAACAGTGGCCTGCTCCCTCACGCACCCCCTCCTGTGGCACTGAAGAAGTTAACACCCCTTTCGTAACTCCAGCGATGTCCCTCGGCACTGGATCAGGCTCCACCCACACTGACGTTGGCAGGGGAGACCTAATGCGCATACGCGGCAGTGGCCACGCTCGAATTAGGATTTCCCCATAGGAAAGCATTAATCAGTGCTTTCCTGTGGGGATTCCGGTGATACTGATCAGCTAGTTTTAGTTGCGAAAAATATAAATCAACTCTGTTTGTGCGGTAAGGACTGAAGGTAAGTGCATGATTAAATCTGCTGTTTTCATTCACATTTACTAATGGCTTGAAATGCTGCTGAAAGGCTGAGGAACTAATCATTTCAACATTTTGGGAAAAATTAAAAACATTTAAAAAAAATTGTGTGTGTAGAGAGCTCAGATATGCTTAGTCTGCTCTAACCACATTTCTGACGTAAGCCATTAACATGGAAGGAGTGATCAGATGCTGCATGTCCTAAAAGACCACCCTGCACATAAAGACTTTGTAGGCTAACATGTGATACTGGGATCACTTTTTTTGTAAAATTACTTGAAAACTGTTTGACAAAAAAAAGCTGTTCTGTAACATACTTACAAAACAGCTAGCTACTGCCATACAATCTGGTGGTTATGGTGCTTGAAAGGCTCATTCTACTGTTTCACATATAAACTTTCTTAGTACTTACTGCACTGCTCGCTCTCTAGCCACAATGCCATGGAATGCATTTATATACCAACCGAGTGTCCCTATTTAGGAGGGACAGTCCCTCTTTTGAGCCCAAATCCCTCAGTCCCTCCTTTCTATCCTAATGTCCCTATTTTCTAGGAGCTCCATAGTGTTGCTGTCTGAGTGTATAACAGAGCCACACAGCAATATTACTCCCAGCAATGTGTTTTTAAACTACAATAAATGTGTTTAGAAATCAGTCTGTGCAAATAAGATACATTGATCTTATTACATTTTAGCTACATAAATTGTTATTAGTAAGTCCCCTAACTTTCTCAGTGGCCACACCCCCACTCACACCTCTAAAATTATAGTGTCCCTCTTTGTCCATTTGAAATGTTGGGAGGAATGCATATATAATTAGGGCAACATTTGGCCAGTCTGCATGTACAAATAGCACAGTCCAGTGAAATATATCTAATGTCCAAATACAGGACTCTCATGCAGGCTCCAGTACCCTAAATATTAAAATATCACATACTATAATCACAGGAAAAGGGAAGACAATATAACAATACCTGTACATTGCTATTACACTTACCACATATAACATAAAATATATATAACATATAACATAAATAATAACATAATAATAAATAATAACATAATAATAATAATAATAATAATAATAATAATAATAATAACATAATACCACATAAGGATAGTTAATATAACACACAGATCTATCTTGGAAAAGACATAGAAAAATACTTGTCAAAGCTTATAAATACTCACCCTTCGGCAGGCACTCCAGTTGTTGTGGACTACATCCCCCATAATGCTCTTACACCCATAATGCTGGTAAAGCATCATGGGAGGTGTAGTCCAAAACATCTGGAGTGCCGAAGGTTGCCTATCCTTGCACTAGGATATGTGTCCTAGCACATTCCTAAAATCCTGAGCTGTTACCATAAAGAGTCCACTGCCGGAATCAAAATCTTCAAATTTGAAACTGACTTTACGCTCTTCCTGTTTTAAACAGATGTATAGTGAGCTGAATTGCTTGGAAATAGCACATACTCCGAGTGTCCAGAAAACAAAGATAGCTATTTTGAAAAGTGGTCTTTAAAGTCATATGTTACAAATTCATTTGATATTTTAGTAAGTCCTGTGCTGCTATTAGATAACAGAGATCAGAGGATATATATTTTTTTTTATTACAGGTTTGTGAGCAAATGTTTATCAAACATACTCTAGTGTCTTTTTGTATAATGCGAAAACTGTGGATTTTTTTGTTTAGAAAACAAGAGTCCCATTTTATTTTTTAATTTTTTTTAACATATTTTTACATTTGAGGGTATGAGAGATAAAAGTATCACTAAAACTCACTATGTGGTTTCAAAAAACAACAAAACAAACATGAAATAATCCGCTGTGTTGTAGCCTTGAATTGGTGTATTGGTGTATTTTGGTCTCGTCTGTAACTCGGCTCTTCTATTGATGTATGAAGCCCATATTTCTGTCAGTGTCTCCAATTACATGTCTTGTACAAATGATTTAAATGACACTTTTGGCTTCTGGCAAAATCCTTATTCTCTGAAAACATTCTTGACATTTATTGCTTGTTTTTGCTATTTACAAGGATTACGCTCGGACTTGTTGGAAATTGGAAATGCCTAACCTTATACACTTATTTTTTCGGCCTTTGACACATTATTCTACATACGTGTATGCTGACAAGACATCGAAACTAGTTAAATACTATATTTCTATAGACTGAGTATTTACGATTTAAATAGTGCTTCCTTTCTTTCGTATTTTCAATAAATGTAATTGTTAAGGTACATAGAACTCTTAGCATACAAGACAAGGCCCTAAACAAGAAGGATACGAAAGTAAGACAGGATTAGCAAAATATATACCAAGTGCTTAGACTAATTGGGCTTAAAAGGAATTGTCACTTCATATATTTTAGCACAACATAATATATAACTAAAAGTTAGCTATTGGTTGAGCTATCTCTGTAATTTTTGATGACAAGCTCACTCCCTCTCAAAGTGAATGTGTTGGTTCAATGCTCTTCCAGGGCAGACCATGCGTGGAGCCCTGCTGAAGAGCTCTAGCATGAGAAAAAGGCCCTGTAGTTGTTCTGCACAGGGCAAGCAAATTTAATAAAATGCTTGCGCTGTGTTTTCTTGCAATTTGTCTCTGGTGTCTCTATAAATGGGATACCACTAGACAAAAGGGCCAGAAAAGAGTATTGTTCATGTGTTTGGAGCCTGCTTGTGGGATTGCGCGGGTGTAGAGTGAGCTGATTGTGGTGTGGTATTGTGTAATAAGGTCGGTTTTAGACGTGTTGTGTTTGTGGTGTAATGTAATGCATGTGTGACTAAGGGCTGTAGAGAGTGTGTGTGTAGGGGATGCAGTATGTGTGTGAGGGATGCAGTGTTTGTGTGAGGGGTGCTGTAGTGTATGTATATATATATATATATATATGTGTGTGTATATATATATATATATATATATTTATATGTGTGTGTGTGTTTGGAAGTATTGTGTGTGTGTGTGTGTGAGTGGTGCAATGTGTTGGAGGTTCTGTGTGTATGTGTGAGGGGTGCAGTGTGTATGAGTGAAGAGTGAAGGGTGCAGTGCATGTGTGAAGGGTGTAGTGGGTGTGTGTGAGGAGTGTAGTGTGTATGTGAGGGGTGCAGTGTGTGTATGTGAGGGGTGCAGTGTGTGTGTGTGTATGTGTGTGTGAGGGGTAAAATGTGTGTGTGTGAGGGAGCTGTGTGTGTGAGGGAGCTGTGTGTGTGTGTGTGTGAGAGAGGGAGCTGTGTGTGTGAGAGTGCTGTGTGTGTGTGAGGGCAATGTGTGTGTGAGAGTGTTGTGTGTGAGGGTGATGTGTGTGAGGGTAATGTGTGTGTGAGACTATTGTGTATGAGGGTGATATGTGTGAGAGTGCTGTGTGTGAGGGTAATGTGTGTGTGAGAGTGTTGTGTGAGGGTGATGTGTGTGAGAGTGATGTGTGTGAGGGTAATGTGTGTGAGAGTGCTGTGTGTGTGTGAGAGAGGGCTGTGTGTGAGGGTGATGTGTGTGAGGGTGCTGTGTGTGAGAGTGCTGTGTGTGAGGGTGATATGTGTGAGGGTGATGTGTGTTAGAGTGTTGTGTGTGAGAGTGATGTGTGTGAGTCATTGTATCCCCCCTCCCCTCTTACCTTTAGCCTGCTGCCATCCCTGGTGGTCCTAGTGGTGAGTGAACTCTAGCCTGTGGGAGGAACCTGGTGGAACTTCAGTTCCGCCGGGTCCTCTCTCCCTCCCTCCACAGCTGCAAGTCTGTGCAAGTGGGTCGATGAGGGAGATCTTAGCGCCGTCTTGGACTACTGCAGGGCCGGAGCTAAGATAGCGCGGACTGTATGGACCGGCCAGGGAGGTCCTGTGATCTCCCTTGTCGGCCTCAGCCCATGGCCATCGCGGCCCACTGGGCATTTGCCCAGCCTGCGCGTATGACACAACTAGAGAAAATGGTGATCGCTAATGCACGTGTAGATGCCAAGGCACCATGGGACACAACTTGGAAGCACAGCGGGGGCAAGATTTTTTACTTACCTCCATTGCATTAATTACTTTGGTAAATACCATGAAGGACATGGAACTATCACTTCTCTGGTGATAGATCCTCTTTAATGGACCGCTTAAGTCACCCAGACCATTTCATCTCAATGTTGTGGTCTTGGTGCTGTGTTCCTGTGTGTTAACATTCAATCTCATAGGAAAATATTGCATTCAATGCTTTTCTATGTGAAGCATTAAATGTGTAAAGCATTGGATTGGACCCCTGAAGGGGGAATCGATCTCTCTTTAGTGGAGAAGTGAGCAGCACCGAGGGAATACTGGAGGAGGAAAACAGGTAAGTTAAAAGTATTTTAAAAATCTTTTTATGGCTAATGAGGGGTTACCCTAAATCTAACAAGGGCCCAGGGCACTATCACATTTCTTTTTCTAATACTATAGTGTTCCTTTAATGTTGTTTAGACAGAGTAAATCAACTAGTCATGGTCAGAGCACCAGACGACAATAATTGATAATTAGTCAGATCTTGGACAATGAATTTAAAAACAAAATTTTTTTACCACTACATTTTATTTTTTTAAAAACTTTTATGAACTTTGTATTTTGTGTTTCTCTGCAGGGTGACTCTGGAGGGCCACTGGTTTGCAATGGAGAGCTATATGGAGTAGTGTCTTGGGGAAAAGGCTGTGCCCAGAGAGCTTACCCCGGAGTGTACACCAAGGTGTGCAACTACTTAGAATGGATACAGCATGTCATTGACAGTTATTGAAGACGCTTATTGTGAAGCAGATCATTCCTTTGCATATACGTTTCGCACAATATTTAATTTTTTCTAACAACACAGATTCTAATAAAACTAATGAGGCATTCACATGTTTACTAGTGTTAAATGTCTAATCCTTGGAATGTAGTTTCTAAACAGTGAGTATTGGCTATGTTAAAAAATATATAGAGTCTCCGTTGTAACTCCCCCAAAAAGTACAGTGGACTGTTACGGGTATCAGTTTAACCCTATGAGTGCTAAATATGTAATTTCCATTGAGGTTGCCTAACGGGGGTATACAGCTTTTCTTTACACTGCAAGACTGTGATGCAACACCCCCACACGCCACTGAATGATTGCCTATACGACTTAATGTAAGAAAATGCTCAAAACTGGTCTAGCTTTCAGTAAGAACAAAATGTCTATATTCCTGTCACTCAAAGAGGGTCACATAGCTCCCAACATTATGAGGTTTGCAGATGGGGACGGGTAGATGGGAGCCACCAGTGATGTGACTTTTGTCATTGGCAACACCAATAATGGGCAGGTACCGGTAGGTCTGAAAGAGGTGAAAAAGAAGGAGCAGTAAAAATAAATAAATCTATATTTATATATTCTAATGATTCAATATGGCATAAAGATTTTTTTATAACTGCTCCCCCATTTTTCCTTCTCTTGGTCACTTTTCACTCGATCTGTGAATGATATTAACATTTAGTGTCTGTCTCCTTACCACTAATCATCTTTTTTTCTCCATCAATCATCTATTTTCTTGGCACCACGGAACTCTAAATATCAAATCGAACCAACTTATTCAGCCATTGCACTAGTCGTTTGTTCCGTTATACCTCTATGTGGCGCTTCAGAGAAACGGAACTCTGACAAACAGCTGATTGACCTAAATTGCAATTTGACCAAAATCGATTGCACAAGTCTAGTCTAGGAGACAGGAGGAGGCTACAGTGATTAAAGTCCCCCATTTCTAGTAGCAATCACTCCTTCTAATTCTCCTTTGTTGGGCTGCACAGCGACAGTGGGTCCTGAAGGGGACAAAAACTGGTGGCGGTGTTTACTGTTACCCTATCACATCGTCACACTCATCCCCCGCAACCATGCAACACTCACCGTGTCACATAAACCCCTGTTAATCCTGTCACGCTCACCTCCCCTCATCTAAAACACTCCCTCCTCAAAACATGCCACACTCACCACCAACCCTGTTACACTCTACCCCCAATCCTGACACACTTACCCTTTCACAGTAACCCCCTTAATCATATCACACTCAACCCCCCTATCCCTGTCACTCTTGCTTCTCCAACCATGTCACATACACCCAACTCTGTCACAATCACCCCACCACACATGCGACACAAACCTCATCACATTAATGCCTCTAATCCTGTCACACTCACACTCTCAACCTTGCCATATTCACCCCCCCCCCTTGCTCTGCCACACTCACTCCCCAACCATGCCACAAACACCCTGTCACATCAACACACCCTGTCACATCAACACACCCTGTCACATCCTATCACACTCACCTGCCCTCGATTGTTAGTTTTGGGACTATAGGTTCTCATTTAAATGAAATCTGGTAAAAAAAAATAAAAAATAACAGAGGCAGGCACTTGGATATAAAAATAAAAGAGATCCTTGAAAGAAAATAGAAAGATATAAATAAAGGGAAATAGACCACATAGAATCAATGCCTGAGCCACAATGCTGCAACAAACTCACCTGGGAGAAACCGGCAAAAAAAACAAAAAAAAGAGGTTGTGTGAGGGGCCTGTGAGGGGTCTTTCTCTCTAGTTTGTTTTATCAACCTTTTGTTTGCTGCTTGGAGGTAACAGTATAGAAAGATAATACAAATATGAAGCCTCCTGTCTTTTATTACAACCTGAATTAAGATGTAGGGGCTAAGAAAACATTGATACAAGTCACAAATTTTTCACAATGTTGGAATAGGTTTGAATCACTTGGTGCAGAGTTTTAAGTTCAACTCCTTGAGAATTGTGCTCCTTTAGAAGCCGTACTGAAGAAAGATGGAGTGTTGCTGCTCTCTAGTGGCCAGAAGTGGATATTACTGTCTCGATGAATAATTACATTTCATTGTCAAGCCTGTAATTTCAGCATATAAAATTTAAAGGGACACTATAGTCACCAGAACAACTACAGCTTTTTGAATTTGTTCTGGTGAGTAGAATCATTACCTTCAGGCTTTTTGCTGTAAACACTGTCTTTTCAGAGAAAATGCAGTGTTTACATTAGAGCCTAGTGATAACTTCTTCCTTAGATGGCTGTTAGAGATCCTTCCTTGGTCATGGCTGCCTAAAATGCATCCAAATATTCAGTATCTCCTCCCTCTGCACGCAGACACTGAACTTTCCTCATAGAGATTCGTTGATTCAATTCATCTCTATGAGGAGATGCTGATTGGCCAGGGCAGCGTTTGAATCATGCTGGCTCTGCCCCTGATCTGCCTCCTTGTCTGTCTCAGCCAATCCTATGGGGAAGCACTGTGATTGGATCAGGCCACCACTTCTAATGATGTCAGCAGACTGCTTGTTTTTCTGAGTCTAACAGCATGCAGAGTTATAGCTTCAGGCTTAAATACAGCAACATTTTGCTATATTTATGGAGGCATGAGTGGCCTAGGGGGGCTAGATGGTGGTGTTAACACTATAGGGCCAAGATACATGTTTGTGTTCCTGACCCTATAGTGATCATTTAAATTACATTTACAAGCGCATCAGTGTAACCCCTTGCTTACCTACCTTCGTTAATGGTGGTGAAGACTGGATGGTCACCCTTTACACTGCAACTTAGCAGGAATGATCTGAGTCTCTGCTGGAGCAGTGGGTCTGGGACATCTTGACTAATCTAATGTAGTCTGCCTCCACTCGTAAATGTTTTATTTCTCGGGGAACCCAGCACTCACACAATGAATTTCCCACAAAAAGTAAAAATAAGAACAATATGCCTGTCTGTCTATCGGTCAGTTGGTCTCTCTGTCTGTAACGCTCTGTACAATCGTTTGTTGATGGTGCATTTTGGGGCCCTTGGTGAACTATAGATAGTTTTACCCTTTTAGTGTGAATAGTTAAAAATGCAAATGTTCCACTACCTGTATGTCAGGTATACCTAACATTCATGCTGCCGCCGGAACCCACTTCCGGGTTCACGGCGCTTAGCTCCGCCCCTTTTTTCTGACGCGGTCTTTCCACGATACTTAGGAAGACCGCGCCAGATTCAAAGTGCTGGATTATTCACTCAGGTGCGGCAGTGAGATCAGCTGCTCTACTCGATGCTACCGGCTCCACTTCTCAGACCTCGGCTTGTAAACGGATTTCTACCTTCTCATCTCTCAGACCTCGGCTTATAAACGGAATTCTACCTTCTCCTCTCCCAGACCTCGGCTTGTAAACGGATTTCTACCTTCTCCTCTCTCAGACCTCGGCTTGGACAAACGGACTTCCTTTCTCTCACTACTAAACTGCAGTTTGTTAAAAGAGACTCCTTCCTCTTCCTCCATTGGGTGAATTAACCCTTCCAGTGCCAGAGTGCTTCTAAGTTAAGTAAATCTTTTGTCAAGGAAAGCAAGTCATATCAATTAATTATAGTATTTAATTTCTTTAAACTCTCTGTTGACAAATAAGGATTGCTGCTAAGGCTAAAACTTCATTATTAAAATTCAAGTTGGAACTAACTTGGCATTTTCCTGATTATTATTTAAAGATACAGTCCACTGATTTCACTCCAATATAATAGGAGGTGAAACTTACTGTTCCTGCCCTCAGAAAATTCTGCAGTTGAGTTCCAATTAAAGAGGTATTACACAAAAGCATCACAGAATAATCCAGCCTTTTCAATGGAACCAGCAGATATTAACTCTCAAGTTTCTGCCCTAACCAATAGAGTAGATACAATTGCTCAAGGGTTACAGGAATTGCAAATTACAAATGAGAGAATATTAACCTATGTTAGAGACATGCAAGGCCATCTTCCTCATGCCGCTCTTCAATCGGCTGGTGATCCTGCTGTCTGTAATCCAGAAAAATTTTATGGAGATAGAACAAAGTACAGAGAGTTTTTAAATTCTTGCAAACTTCTGATAGCTTTGAAACCTCGATCTTACCTCACTGAAAGGTCAAAAGTTTGTTCAGTAATTTCCTTTCTAAGAGGTGAACCTATGGCTTGGGCCCATTCCTTTTTAGAGAATGATGATCCCATACTAGATTCACTGGATGAATTTTTTGAAGCTATGTCTTTATTATATGAAGATCCATATAAACAGGCTACTGCTGATTTAAACATCAGAACTCTCCACCAAAAGAACAGACCTCTTGAAGATTACATTGCCGAATTTAAAAGATGGGCTACAGAAACCCAATGGAATGACATTACACTACGCAATCAATACCGTCTCGGATTATCAGAAGCTGTGAAAGATGAACTCTCTCGTATTGAACTTCCTCCCACCTTAAATGCATTGATTCAACTTTCCATTAGTATTGACAGACGTCTAAGAGAAAGAAGGGCTGAAAAAGTTCTTACTACTTCTAACTGGAGAAAACATTTTACTACTCCAAAAATTCCTGAAAAATCTCTTCCTCACATTGAACCTATGGAAGTTGGTATAATAAGAAGCCCTCTTACTTCGGAAGAAAGGATAAGAAGGAGACAACTAAATTTGTGCATGTATTGTGCTTCAAAAGAACATCTAATCCCAGAATGTCCCCTACTAATCCATTCGAAAGATGGTAAGCTTCACTCATCTACTTCTATATTGAACGTTCTTCAAAAAAGGAAAACATCTACTTATTTTTCTATATCTCTCATATTACAGTGGGATACAAAAAGAATCGTGACTGAAGCCATTATTGATTCTGGTGCTAATGGAACCTTCCTTGATTTTTCTTTTGTTGCAAAGAATAAAATTCCGTGTGTTCGAAAAACCAATTTTATTCCAAACAGAGTTATTGATGGTTCATTTATATCCTCAGGACCCATTATAGATTACAGAGCCTTAAATAAAATAACCATAAAAAATCGTTATCCTCTTCCACTAATAAATGAATTAATTGAAAGGTTAAGAACTGCAACTATATTCACTAAACTCGACCTCCGAGGCGCATATAACCTCATTAGAATAAAACAGGATGATGAATGGAAGACCGCCTTCCGGACTAGATATGGTCTCTACGAATATCTAGTGATGCCTTTTGGGCTTTGTAATGCCCCTGCAACATTCCAACATTTTATAAATGATATCTTTAGAGATCTTTTGGATGTTTGTGTTATTATCTACTTAGATGATATTCTAATATATTCTAACAATTTGGATGAACATAGGAAGCATGTAAGATGGGTTCTATCTAGATTGAGAACTCACAAATTATACGCTAAACCAGAGAAATGTCTTTTTGAAGTTACTGAACTCTCCTTTCTTGGATACATTATTTCACCTCATTCTCTGAAAATGGATAACTCTAAAATCGAATGTATTATTAACTGGCCCGTTCCTACTACTACAAAAGAATTGCAACGATTTCTTGGATTTGCAAACTTCTATAGAAAATTCATTAGAAACTACTCAGAGGTATCACATCCACTTAACCACCTTAACAGTACTAAACGTCCTTTCAAATGGAATAAAGATGCACAAGCTGCCTTCGACAGTTTAAAAAAAAGATTTACAACTGCACCTATTCTACAGCTACCTAATCCAACATTCTTGTATGTCCTAGAAGTCGATGCATCAGATTCAGCTATCGGAGCAGTTCTTTCTCAGCAAAAGACTCCTCAAGATCCACTTCATCCAGTCGCATTCTTTTCAAGATCCTTGAGCTCTGCTGAAAAAAATTATCCTATTGGTGAAAAGGAATTATTAAGTGTTAAAGCTGCCTTTGAAAATTGGCGCCATCTATTAGAAGATACAAAACAACCTATCATAGTCTATACAGACCATAAAAATCTTGAATATCTTTATACTAATAAAACCCTTACGGCTAGACAAGTTAGATGGAACCTATTTTTTAACCGGTTTAACTTCCAATTAATATACAGACCTGGAACTAGAAATAAAAAGGCTGACGCTCTTTCTCGAATTCCTTCTAAAACTTCTATTGATGTTTATCCTCCTAACAAAATAATAGGGATCCTCTCTTCTCTTCAGGATGACTTAAGGAACTTGAATCAAAAGGATCTTGAACTTCCCAAAACACCTAATTTAACAAAAAAGGATGGTATATTTTACTTCAAAAATAAAATTTATATTCCTCCCATTCTTAGGAACAAATTACTCAAAATGGTTCATGATTCACCCCTAGCTGGACATCCTGGAATAAAGAAAACCCTTGAACTAACTTCACGATATTATTAGTGGCCTCGCCAAGATAGAACCATTGAATTATATGTCAAAACTTGTCCTATCTGTCAAAGGTCCAAATCTGAACATAATCAACCTTTTGGATTACTACTTAACTTACCTATTCCAGAAAAACCTTGGCAATCCATTTCTATGGATTTTCTTGTTGACCTTCCTCCATCCCGACAGTTCACCACTATTCTTGTTGTTGTGGACCGCTTCACTAAAATGTCCCATTTCATCTCTTTAAAAAAATTACCCTCCTCCGTAGAATTGTCCAAAGTCTTTATTGATAATATTGTAAAGCTTCATGGTCTTCCAGAAGAAATTATTTCTGATAGGGGGACACAATTTACCTCCAAATTCTGGAAAGAGATGTGTCTCTCTCTTCAAATTCAACGCAAACTCTCTTCTGCCTATCATCCCCAAACTAATGGGCAAACAGAGAGAGTTAATCAATGTTTGGAACAATATCTCCGATGTTATTGTTCATACCTGCAAGATGACTGGACCACTTGGTTACCTATGGCTGAATTTTCTTACAATAATACCATTCATTCTAGTACGAAAATGACTCCTTTTTTCTCCAACTATGGTTTTCATCTGTCCTCATTTCCCATCCCATCTAATTCTTCATCCAATCCCATGGTTACTTCAAAAAATGAATTTATGTCCTCTCTATTCCTTAAATTACGGGAGAATCTTCAACTCGCCCAAAACTACCAGAAAAAGTTTTTTGACCATAATAGAAGAATTCCCCCTCCTTATAAAGTGGGGGATCTTGTCTGGCTCTGTTCAAAAAATATTACCACAAACCGTCCTTCAAATAAATTGAGCTCTCTTTTTCTTGGTCCTTTTCAAATAACTACAATCATCAATGATAACGTTGTTAAATTAAAACTTCCTCCAAGTTTTAAACTTCATCCAGTATTCCATGTCTCTTTGCTTAAACCACACATCCCTGATCCTTTCCATAGAGAAATAGTAACAACTCCTGAACCTATCATCGTCCAAGGTGAAGAAGAATATGAAATTCATAAGATTTTGGATTCTCGTATCCACCGTGGCTCTTTACAATACCTTATCAGATGGAAAGGTTATGGAGTTGATGAAGATACCTGGGAAGATTCATCTAATGTTCATGCAAAGAGATTAGTTGATGCTTTTCACAAACGCTACCCCTCTAAACCGAAATAAGTGCACCCAGAGGATGCCCCATGAGAAGGGGGTACTGTCAGGTATACCTAACATTCATGCTGCCGCCGGAACCCACTTCCGGGTTCACGGCGCTTAGCTCCGCCCCTTTTTTCTGACGCGGTCTTTCCACGATACTTAGGAAGACCGCGCCAGATTCAAAGTGCTGGATTATTCACTCAGGTGCGGCAGTGAGATCAGCTGCTCTACTCGATGCTACCGGCTCCACTTCTCAGACCTCGGCTTGTAAACGGATTTCTACCTTCTCATCTCTCAGACCTCGGCTTATAAACGGAATTCTACCTTCTCCTCTCCCAGACCTCGGCTTGTAAACGGATTTCTACCTTCTCCTCTCTCAGACCTCGGCTTGGACAAACGGACTTCCTTTCTCTCACTACTAAACTGCAGTTTGTTAAAAGAGACTCCTTCCTCTTCCTCCATTGGGTGAATTAACCCTTCCAGTGCCAGAGTGCTTCTAAGTTAAGTAAATCTTTTGTCAAGGAAAGCAAGTCATATCAATTAATTATAGTATTTAATTTCTTTAAACTCTTTGTTGACAAATAAGGATTGCTGCTAAGGCTAAAACTTCATTATTAAAATTCAAGTTGGAACTAACTTGGCATTTTCCTGATTATTATTTAAAGATACAGTCCACTGATTTCACTCCAATATAATAGGAGGTGAAACTTACTGTTCCTGCCCTCAGAAAATTCTGCAGTTGAGTTCCAATTAAAGAGGTATTACACAAAAGCATCACACTGTATCCTCATGTAGAATGTTCTGTACAAGGCCTGACATCTCTCCCTCTACTCTACAATCACTGCTCTCTTAGCAGGGTAAATGAGACTGATACGATGCATCCTGGTCCTCTCCAGAAGAACCCAAAATTACTAGAACCTAACTAAACATACAGTCAAGAGGCTGGGAGCAAGTGTCTTGCTCCATTTGCCTAGAATCTTTAGGTAGCTTGCATGTAGCAATGTAGCCCCCACACACTCGATTGCGGAAACTTCAACAGGATCTTACCAAAGTACAAATGTGTCCGATTGTTGCTGTGGTATTGAGCTGGGGTTTCACAGAATGTAAGGTTCTGAATGCGGCTAACGTGACTCCTAGCAGTTTCACCTTTTACTACAGATTGACAAAGTTTGATACGGTTAGAATTTCAAAGACTGTTACAATAGAAAGAATGGGAGAAGGAACAAAAATAAAAATGTAGAAGTAAAAAAAAAAGAATCCTAGAACTCGAAACGTGGATTTAAATTGTATTTATTGTCTCTCTCTCTACGATATACCAAGTTTGTCAGGTTCAATACAGAGCCTACATATAGCAATTTGGTACTGAAGCTATAACCCAGAACAATAGGGTGCAAAGAACATTCTAAAACAGGTTATGCAATAAAATAAAATAAAAAAAACATATAAAATACTATAATAAGTAGATTTTGTTTACTATACTTATACATTGCAAAAAAATTATAAAAAATTGCTGCAATGCCAACATTTTAAAATATCAGGCAAAGCCATAATCACACCGCAAGGCTAAGCAAGGCAGGGCAAAAACATTACAATAAAAAAAAGAGAAACAAATTATTAAACCATAAAATTAAAGCAAATCTTACTAGAAAAATGAACAATTTATTGAACAATAAATGGACTAACTTAGCACTTAAAACAACACATTGCTTCAACTAAATATTTCAATAAGAATGTTTAACAATTACAAAAAGAACTTACTGCAGTGTTCATGATGGTACCCAGGATAGGCAATTAATTCATTAAGATGGGGTGAGTATTACCAGAAGAGAAGAAAAAATAATAATTGTAATTACAACTCCTGGTTCATCCCATCATTAATTTAATGCCAATTAAAATCATATGTTTTTTGAAGATTGCGTACCATCTCTTCAATATAATGGGGTGTTTATCTTTTTATATCAGGGGTATCTGTTTGGACTGTGATGATCTTCTTTCTAATTGTGTCTTCAGAGTTGCACTCTGCATAAATGTTCTTCCCTAAATGGTCACTACAAACAGCCTCAAGTATGAATATATTCTATTTGTCGCATACTCTCTCACAAACACCTGCAACTTAAACTGGTAATAACTGTTTATAATGATATGTTTAAAAAAGTAATGGAAAACATCAGTGGGCAATTGATGACCAACCACTTTCACCCTGAGCTTTCCACACATCCAGTCTAAAGAGTGAGTGACTCTTCCTTCAGTGTGGGAAAAAACAGTGCCCTTTCAGCGAATACTATCTGCGTCTGGGGAACTAGCATGTGTAATGACATTGGATGACTCAGACCAACGGTGAAATCACTACAGTAAAAGGTATTTGAAAAAAGTGGGAGCAAAAGGAATAATTATATTTTGGTGAAAAAGGGGAGGACCTGTCCCAGACTGAGATTACTGTGACTCAGGTTTTCTGAAACATTTCTAACTGATTTAAGTACTGTCACTAGCTGCTCTATTATTGTCCACCTCTCCAACCCCAGTGAGGATGCCAGTGTACTGGTCAGAAAGGTAGGCTATGGAATAGATTGCTTTCTGCTATTCAAAAAAATATTTCCAGCATGTCTAAAGTAGAGTTCCACCACATTCTCAGATCCTGTCATAGACAGTATGTGGAAAGCCCCGTTTTATCTTGCTCCAGTCTCAAGACTTGGTAAGCCTTCACAATAATGTGGAGATGCCTGGCAATCCCTATGTAATGATCAAGTATGGTTGCCGGTATTGTTGGTCCTCCTCCACTACTACGTCCATACCCAGGCATTGTGAGCTGTCACCAGTGTGCCATTAAGGAGAGCAAGGCGTGCAAGCCAGTCCAGTAGGACCATACCATAAATCTCTTTTTCTGTGACATGCCTCTGAAATTAACCCCAACAAAATGTTCAAGAGTGGGCTGCTGGACAAGTCCCTGGGATGATGAGCCCAACTGTCCCTGTCCATCCTGCCTTTGTCAACTAATAAATTACTGGCATTACCCCCAACATCAAGCAATGGGCGGCTGTGATTGGTTGAGAATGTCAGTTGACTGCCTTCATCTCTCACAGCTGCCATTGCAGGTATGAATTGGTATGGCTTGAAGTAAGTGTGTCGTTTCTGTTTTAGCCACACCTTCAATGAGGACATGGATCCTCAATCACTGTTAAACTTCTTGAAAATAGTTTAACATTGAATGGCGGGGCAGTGCCGTGAGGACACCAACCACTATAACCAATTGAATGATATGAAATTGTTATGGTGTCTAGATAGTCCCTTTAAAAATGAAAATTTTTTACAACATATCTATTTCATTTTTATTTTAGGCAGAACTTCCTCTTTAAGGTATTTTACATGCGGCATGTTCCATTTAAAATATTGGTCTAGGGTTTGGTCTTATGTCTCTCGTCTAGAACCTAAAGTGGCAGAGGGTATATCAGTACGGTTTGGTATATAACACATGTCCTTGCAACTTCTCCCTATAACAGTGCTATTCATTGAAGTGTGAATTGGCAGGAATTTAATTTGTTCAAAGTGAATTTGTACTGTTAGGTCAAACTAGCTGAAATGAAAATACATCTGGCTTGAAGATGTTTTCCATTTCACTTGTACTAACCCAAGATTTTAAATATGCTAGGCAACAGCATGGCAAATCTGAGAAGGATGGCAAATCTGTGGGATAATCGTCCTGAGAAAAAAAGAGGCAGTGCAATTGGTCCATACAATGCTTTGAAAGTGGAAATGTGTTAAAAAATTGCTAGACTTAAAAAAAATGTCTGTTGTGATTAGGTTTTTAGTGACTTAAAAAAAATGTCTGTTGTGATTAGGTTTTTAGCTCACCTTATTATTTTGCCCTAAGTGTTACCCCAATTAATACCCCCTAAGTGCTAACATAACTGTAGTTTTCGTGTAATTTGCCTTGCAACTATACAAAAACACTATACACCAACTTAAAAAAAAAAGTTAATTCATAAAATGCTGCCCCTTACTGCTTTTACAACAACTCTCTACAACTCTACTCCTAGTGCCTCCCTGTAACTTTACCACTAGACTCTTTTGCAACTATTTCATACAACGCTACTCTCTACAACTCTACCCTTCTCCAGTCTTACTTACAACTACTTTACTTACAAAAAAGAAATAATAAATTATAATATCAAAACAAACCTTACAAACAAAATAAACAATTTATTTAACAATAAATGGACTAACTTAGCAAATTAGAACTACAAAACTACCAAGCCTGGACTGGAAATACCCATGTGGGCTGCAATTGCCAAGGGCCAAGGCCGACCAGGGAGATCAAAGGATCTCCCCAGCCTTTTGAAGGCCAATGTTCAATGAGCGCAGCCAAAACATAAAATGAAGTCCCTTAATAGTCCGGTGAGGAGATTAGAGACCAATTGCTGATCAACCTAACTTGCCTGCTGCTGCAGGTTCCCACAGATCTCACAGAGCAATCACAACAGCAAGCAGGTTAGGTTGAGCAGCAGCTGGTCAGTTAACGGTAGAATATGACTAAACGTGTTTTTATAACCAGGTAAAAAAGTAAAAATTTGTGAAAAAATCCAATATACATAATTTTAAAAAGAAAACAAATACCATAAAGTATCATCAAATTAAATAGAAGTTTGATGACAATTGTCATTTAAGTAATAAAACAGAAAATGTCCAAACACGTGTGGAAATGGCTAAGATTATTTTCTTGAAGGTTTTTATGCTAATACTTTGTGCATCTTTTTTTCTGCCATTTTCAAAAATTATATATATATATTTTTTTGTGGTGGTGGTGGTGGAAAGATACACTTTGGACATTTAAAATACAATGTATATTTCAATCACATAACTCTGGAAAATGAAAGGTTTTGTTCAACTGACATTACTGTTCCTTCTTTGCTGCTTAGTAATCCTGAATGTGCAACATGTTTTGAACTTTTCTTAAAAAACTTATATATTTCCTTCCTGAACTTCACTCCAACAAATGCATAAACAAAAGGATTTACACACACATGAGCCATCCCCAAATTCTCTGTGATGAACACTCCCATATCCAGCATCTTCTCAAAATGGCAGTCTCTGTTGATGTAGCCCAGTCTTTGAAGAGAGTCGATAAGTAGCAGTGTGTTGTATGGAGCCCAACAAAAAACAAAAAGAAGTAGAAGCACCACAATGACAACCTGAGGACGTCGGGACTGGTTAAGCTTAGACTGTCGGAGTGTACAAAAAATTTTGGAGTAGAAGAAAGACATGAGACCCAATGGAAGAAGAAACCCAACACTTAGGTTTACAAGACGCAACGTAATTCTCCAGGTATCAGCTTGGTCTGGTTTAAAGTTATAATAACAAACAAAATTCTTAATGTGTTTGATGTAGCTTACATCTCTGAAAAAAAGTTCTTGCCATGACAATAAACATGATGTTACCCAGACGAAGACACATATGAAGATGGTGTGAATAGGTTTCTGCTTTCCGTGTAACTCAACTGCATGCACAATTGAAATGTATCGATTGAACCCAATGCAGGTTAAGAAAAATATGCTACTGTACATATTGATGGTGAAAAGAGCCCCTAGTAGCTTACATGGGACCAGACCAAACACCCAACCATAGACATACTGTGTGGTCCAAAATGGTAGGGTCAGACCCAGTAGTATATCAGAGATGGCAAGCTGGAATAAATAATGGTCAGACAAATGCCACACATGGACCCTTCTCTTCAAGACATATATCACCAGTCCATTCCCTAACATATCTAGCGTAAATACAACCACAAATGCTACCAACATTAAGATCTGGTTGAATTCGCTGGGTGACCCAGGCTTGCAAGGAGTGACATCTTCTGAGAAGGATGGCAAATCTGTGGGATAATCCTCCTGAGAAAAAAAGAGACAGTGCAATTGGTCCATACAATGCTCTGAAAGTGGAACTGTGTTAAAAAATTGCTAGACTTAAAAAAAATGTCTGTTGTGATTAGGTTTTTCATAATTTTTACAAACAAGTACATTAAAATAACACTACATTAGATAACTTAGTGTCTTTAACATCTTGATGTGTGAAGATGTTCTCTGGAATACAGTTAATAGACAAACATACCATATCCTCCTATGAGTCCTACTCTGATAGATACCTCCTATGAGTCTTACTCTGATAGATAGATAGACAGACAGACAGAACTAACGAACGATGAATGGGCAATGTATGGATGAATAGATATAGACAGAGTTAATTTATTTTATTGAGACACAAGGTAATTCATTTAAAGGGTCACTCGAAGCATCCGACTGCTTCAGCTTGCTGGAATGTTTGATTCTACTATAGACTGACATTTAAGAAATTATTACTAAAAAAATTCTTAAATAGTTTTCATAGTATTTTAATTGATTAGTAACGAATGTGATTTTTTAAACTTTAAATAAAACTTACAACATCTGCACTCGAACTAATGATTGCACTGTGCTAAAACAACAAAAATTAAACAAAAGTATTAATTCACTGTTTAAGGGGAACCTTTTTCAAAGTTTGTTCTGCAAATTAGCTTTATATTCAAAAGGCAATAAAGCTAAAAAAAAATGCTAATGTTATGACCGCATGAAACATGTATGTCATCTGATTATATTCACCATTTGCAGTCTAAAATATTTTTTTATATGTAATCAATATGCGAATCATTACATAATGTATGAATTTAACAGATAAGCATTAATCAGGCTTTATGTCATATTTGGATAATTGTAGCACAGCCCTGCTGCCTTAAATGTCTACAGAAGACATGGTTAAAGGGGAAATATCACTTCATTAGATTATTATTATTATTATGTTTAGTTATCCCTATATTTTAGAAATATGCATTTGTTACATGTATAATATAACATTAAATACAGAAATCCACACTTGTTTATCCTGAAACTGGGCGCCTCGATCTTAGTGTCCTGTCAATCATGTTATAAACCGGGTCCTTTGCACAAACAAAGCATACATTGAAGAGAGAAATGAAACAATGTTTTATATTTCTCCTCCTGATTTGCATTATTTGCCATGTCTGTGCCTGGACTAAATTAGATTGTGGTAATATTTGCTAAATCTTTAATATAAATGTAAAATAAAACATGTAGAAAGGTTTAACACATTATAAGTGATTTTCTATAATTTAATCAATCATGTAAATTCCATAGCATTGACAGTTCTCCTATAAAAGAAAGACTTGCTTGTATGATTTTGTAGATACACTTAACATCTTGCCTATTTTTATGCTCTTATTTAAAACGCCTTATTTGCTTTAAAACAAGATAATTTCAGTCTAGCAATCTACTTGATACTTACTCCTTCCAAGGAATAACTATAGTCCTCACTGCTCGTCATCCTAAAACACTTTCTTGTATGTTTGCAGAAGAAGAGACTGTTTGGTAGATGATTGTTTTTTCTCACGGAGGGCTTATCTAGAAGTTGAGAACCTTGAGGATTGAATAGAAGTTTGTGTTAAAAATGAGAAGTTGTGGGAAGTTACGCAAGATTTCCTATTAAAGTGAAGAAAAAAAAGAGATAGACAACAGCCTAACCAATTATGTCTCTCTCTCTCTATATAGAGAGATACTTAATAGGTGATGCAAAGATAATAGACAGACTATTGAGCAGAAGTTTTAAGCTGGAGTTACAAATGCTGTAAAGTAAGAATGCTTTCAAACATAGGATTGTTAATATATTTTTTTGTATCAGTTCACAAAATAAGTAAAAAAGAATCCTAATAGATAGGAGTCTAGAGTGTGTCCATAGACCCCTATAGGGGATAACCCTTGAAGTTAGATACTGAAAAATGAAACGGATGATCCCAAATGCACAAGGCTATGAGAGCACCCGAAAGTAAGGGATCTAAGGGTCTGTACTTGAAAAACAATGCTAAAAATAAATAAATAAAAGAGCTTTATTATAGGGTAGAAAAAATCCCTCAAAAAAGGAAACTTACAAAAAACAACACTTAAAATCTAAGTCACACAGGAGGGGATTCAGACTGCAGGCAGTTAATTAATGCTATGTAATCTCTATAGACTCAGGGGATCCAAGTGTAACCAAGAGGATATATAAGATTAATAAATGGTATAACTCTCTGGTATATAACCCTGAGTGTATGTGATATCAAGAGAAAAAGGATAATTCTAAAGTAGTGAAATAGCTCCACTATGTATAACCCAAGAGACAGATGACAAACAGAAAGAAATCTCTATAGAGAATTGTTGCAATCAAAAAACAAGATTGCTCATCTTGTAGGTAAAAAATACAGTGGGGAGCCCTTGCTGCAATTAACAATAAACACACAAATGTGTGGGCTGGATTGCAGCAGTGTATTAGACAGAAAATGGTTCAGTTTGTATTCGTGCCAAAAAAAGGCAACTGTAGCTATGATAGCTAAATTGTGCAGGTTAACACCAGCAAAACCCTATCAAAAGAGCCATAAATTAATCTGTTGCTAAAAATCCTAGCGATAAACGGCCTTGAGGAACGCAGCAAAGTCTCAATAGTGAAGCTAAAGCTACAAAGAAACCTTAACTGCACATAAAAGGAGGTCTATATAGGCGACTCCCTACACCCAGTCGAATCTCACTCTCCCACCCCGTGAACACATCACTCTGTGCTGTGATTAAAAATAAAAAAGCAGCATAAACCTAACGTCCGTTTCGGTGCTAGCAAAGCGCCTTTGTCAAAGGTAGAGAGGGCACTGAAAGGGGCTGAATATATACCGGGCTGTACTACATTTCTAGCCAATCGCCGAGAATGGGTGTACTTGCTTTTTCCCGCCAAGATTACAGCTAACTATGTGGGTAGCGTGTATTGCCGGCATGGCGTCATATGGCTCCTCCCCTAGGGGAGGAGCAACTACTACTGGCATAGCGTCATGTGGCAAAAGTTTGACAAAGGCGCTTTGCTAGCGCCGAAACGGACGTTAGGTTTATGCTGCTTTTTTATTTTTAATCACAGCACAGAGTGATGTGTTCACGGGGTGGGAGAGTGAGATTCGACTGGGTGTAGGGAGTCGCCTATATAGACCTCCTTTTATGTGCAGTTAAGGTTTCTTTGTAGCTTTAGCTTCACTATTGAGACTTTGCTGCGTTCCTCAAGGCCGTTTATCGCTAGGATTTTTAGCAACAGATTAATTTATGGCTCTTTTGATAGGGTTTTGCTGGTGTTAACCTGCACAATTTAGCTATCATAGCTACAGTTGCCTTTTTTTGGCACGAATACAAACTGAACCATTTTCTGTCTAATACACTGTTGCAATCCAGCCCACACATTTGTGTGTTTATTGTTAATTGCAGCAAGGGCTCCCCACTGTATTTTTTACCTACAAGATGAGCAATCTTGTTTTTTGATTGCAACAATTCTCTATAGAGATTTCTTTCTGTTTGTCATCTGTCTCTTGGGTTATACATAGTGGAGCTATTTCACTACTTTAGAATTATCCTTTTTCTCTTGATATCACATACACTCAGGGTTATATACCAGAGAGTTATACCATTTATTAATCTTATATATCCTCTTGGTTACACTTGGATCCCCTGAGTCTATAGAGATTACATAGCATTAATTAACTGCCTGCAGTCTGAATCCCCTCCTGTGTGACTTAGATTTTAAGTGTTGTTTTTTGTAAGTTTCCTTTTTTGAGGGATTTTTTCTACCCTATAATAAAGCTCTTTTATTTATTTATTTTTAGCATTGTTTTTCAAGTACAGACCCTTAGATCCCTTACTTTCGGGTGCTCTCATAGCCTTGTGCATTTGGGATCATCCGTTTCATTTTTCAGTATCAGTTCACAAAATGCAAAGTGAGTGAATAGAAAAAAAAGCTAAATCAATTAATAATTGACATGATCACTATTTGCCTTCAGATCAGCATCAATACACATGCACAAAGTCAGGAATTTGTAGGCATTTTTCAGGTGCATGATTAAACGATTATACCAAACAAGAGACAATGATCATCAATCTAATACGTTGGTTGAAACACTTCCATTAACTGAAATAGAAACAGCTGTTTAGGGGTGAAAACTAGATTATGAATAGTCAAATTCTGTTCACAAGGGGATGTTGCTGAAGACAGTTTAATGCCAAATATCATACACCATGGCTAGACTGAGCAAAGCACAAGACACAAGGACGGTATATTGCATTAGCAAGGTCTCTCCCAGACAGAAATGTCAAGACAGACATGGAGTTTCCAGATGTGCATTCTAAGCACTTTTGAAGAAGTTCACAGACACCGGAAGTGGTGAGGACCATAGAAGCAGTAGTCGGTCAAGTGCAACAGGTAGAAGACACATTATGCTTGGAAGATGTCCTGTACTGCGATCAGCTCAGAACTGATGTGCAGAATATTGTTTGCATACTGTTACAGCTGAGTGCTCTTCCTAAACACAAAATCAGCTTACAACTGGCAGAAATCAGTGGGACCCTGGTACACATGTGTACTGTCTGGTCAGAAGCGGTCTTCTTCTTCTTCGGCTTAATATTATTTATAAAGCGTCAACAAGTTCCGTAGCGCTGTACAATGGGTGGACTAACAGACAAGTATTTGTAACCAGATGAGTTGGACACACAGGAATAGAGGGATTGAGGGCCCTGGTCAATGAGTTTACATGCTAGAGGGAATGGAGTAAGGGTAGGGTAAAAAAAGTAGGTTGCTAGGATAGTGTTCATTGAGGGCTTAGTGTTTTGTTTTGATGACAGTTTCAGGAGAGGAATCAGGGTGAGGAGAGAGAAAACTGTTCACAGTTTAATTGATATGCATTCCCAAAGAAGTAAGTTTTCAAAGATTTTTTGAAGGAATGGAGATTGGGTAAAAGTCTAACAGAGATGGGAAGTGCGTTCCATAGAGACCTAGAGAAGTCTTTAAGGTGAGCATCTGTGATAGGAGTATGAACAGAGGTTAGACGTAAGTCTCCGACAGAGCGTAGGGGCTAAGATTGAACATATTTGTGGATTAGTGAGGATAAGTAGGTCGGAGCAGCATTGTATAGCAATTTCTAAGCAGGATCAGGATCTTAAATTGAGTCCTATAGTTTATGGGATGCCAATGTAGGGACTGTCAAAGGGGGGAGGCATGGGAGGTGCAGACAGAAAGATGAACCTCACCGCCGCATTTATTATAGACTGTAACAGGGCAAGTTGGGAACATGTAAGACCACTGAGAAGTGGATTACAGTAGTCAAGGCAAAAGAGGACAGCGGCATGGACAAGCACCTTTGCAGTATCGAGCGTTAAATAGGGTCAGAGGTGCACAATATTTTTGAGATGGAAGCAGCAGGATTTGGCGATTGATTGGACATGAGGGGTGATGGAGAGGTCGGAGTCAAAGAGAACACCTAGGCAATGAGCCTTAAAGGTAAAGCGGATGGTAGCACCATTGACTTGGAGGGACATAGACAAGGGAGTAGCAACACTTGAGGGAGGAAAGACCAGAAGTTCTGTTTTGGACAGGTTCAGTTTAAGGAAATGAGCAGCCATCCAGTTGGAAATAGCAGCAAGGCAGTCAGAGACACGAGTCAAGAGGGGTGGTGAGAAATCAGGGAAGGACAGATAAATTTGCGTGTTATCCGCATAGAAATGATACTGATAGCCGAAGGAGCTGATGAGTTTACCAAGGGAGGCAGTGTAGATTGAGAACAATAAGGGGACCAAGGACAGACCCTTGGGAAACACCAACAGAGAGGGATTGGGGAGAAGAGGCAGAGCCAGAGAAAAAAACACTGAATGAGCCCTGGGAGAGGTAAGAAGAGCACCAGGAGAGAGCAGTATCTCGAAGACCGAGATTATCGAGGATGTGAAGAAGTTGTATGTGGAAGTCTTGTGGCCAAAAAGCCATACCTCAAATGAAGAAACTATACCAAGCGACTTAACTGTGCACAGAAACGCAGCAGAAAAATGTAAGCAGGTGCTCTGGACTGAGTCAAAATTGTATTTGGCTGCAGCAGAAGGCAGTTTGGATGAGTAGTACAAAAATGAATGTCTACAGGCAACCGTGATTTATGGAGGAGGTTCCTTGCAAGTTTGGGGTTGCATTACTGCAAACAGATGTGGGGATTTCACTAGACTGGATTAACATAGAGGCAAAAAGGGCTGCACTGCGAATAAATGTTCTTGCTCTATTATGTTGTGCTGAGGGATGTAAGGGGGATGTAAGGGAAAAAAACTTGTGTGGATTGGCTGACTATAACATAGTTAATGTAAAGCTGACTTTGCACACTGCGCAAATGCTCATGCTGCTTCTGTCTCTCTAAAACTGTGGCATGTCCCCTTTCTGCTATCCACCTCTTTTTCTGTCGTTGTATGCATACCTGCTCCTCTGATCGCAACACATATAATAAAGTTGCATGGTCCAAATCCATATCCAATTTACTATATATAGAAAACACATAAAAGTATAACACGTCTGGAAACTACACCTCAGAATTACGAAACTC